TAGCCTTGGCTGTCGTGGAACTCATTCTATAGACCATACTGTCCTGGAACTCACAGAGATCCACCTAACTCTGCCTTCTGAGTGCTGGGATTAAGGGAGTGCACCGCTACTTCCCAGCATATCTCTTTAACTTCACTGAAAAGAAATTATAAGAATGAGCAAACTGTTTACAGTGGTTACTTCTAAGGACTCAGAAAATGGGATGGGAAGTGAACATTTTCACTCAAACTGCACTGTTTTGTCCTTTTCAAAGTGGATTGTATTATCTTTAAAATTCAACCAAACTTTCAACGTCATTTTTAAACACCATTGTTTAACCAAATAGTACTAGCAACACATGAAATAAATGAGATGCCAGAATTTTTGACATAAATATGATAGATTATAAATATAAGATTATCTGATACTTTTAATGTGTTACAGTAAATAAGTTTAATAGTTTGAAATTTTCATCACAAATGTTTGCCAGGTTTTTCCTGGTTCTCCTGACTTTATGGTTCTTATATAAATTTCTTCTCACAATCCCTAGCTTTATAAAAATACATCCTCTTATTCACAAATCATATCATTAGAGAATGCTAATTTAAAAAAAAAAAGTCAGCCCGTGGTGGCCCATGCATTTTGTTGTTTGTTTAGGTGTGTGTGTGTGTTTTCAGATTAATTGTCAATATTTAAGAATTCCAGGTTGTGCCAACACAGGTTCAAGTCACATGGCAAGTGGGTCACATACACTTGCTTGAGAGCCGAGACCACACCTAATTCCCTAATAACAGGCCTTGGGTGTGGGTACCTTCAGAATTCCTTTTGCCCTGTCTCTTTCTTGTAATGTACTGGAAAGTAACTTTTTACCTGCACAAAGGGTAAAGGATATTGAAAACCAACTTGTTAAGTTTGTTACTGGGAGCTGGAGGAGAGGTAGGGGAAAAGATGGGAGAATGGAGGTTGGAATAGTTCTTTGAAAATTAACCGAAACAAGACAGATTAGAAAAATAATTCCATTTCTCCCCTCCTTTTCTGAATCTAGAGGGACAAAAAAGGGAAGATATGTAAGTGCATGAGAAGGGGAAAAGGGTCCAAGGGAGGGAAGGGAGGCAGGAAAGAGGGAGGAGTCGTAGACAGGACCCTGCTATCTATATGCCTGAAATCGTTTCAACAAACACCATTGTTTTATGCAAGTAATTTAAATTAACAAAGGACAAAAAAGCAAAGCCTTCTACATTGTGCTTAATATATAACTAAAGTAGTTTGTGCTGGAGGAAGCAGCTTAAAGAGCCTACAGGGAACGAAAAAAACATGAAACAAACAAACATGACGAATGTGTTTTCAAGTGGGTCCCAAATGAGGAATTCTTTTTAAATGCAATTATGTCCACAAGAAAAGAGTATTTCCCTTCTTCTAATTCACTGTGCTATACTGTCCCACTGACACAGAAGGATTTGGAGCTATTTCTCTGTTCAGAAACACCTGGAGGCAGGGTCCCTTTCTCCTCCCAGTCTTCCATCCCTGACCTAATTCTAAACCCTCAGGCAGTAAATAGCAAAAGCTCTTAAAGGCTGCAGCCACGATTCCCCTCATTTTCCTCCTCTTCCTGCTCAGCACAGTAGCCTGCTAAGATAAGCAAGCACATGTGAAATGTCTATTACCTCAGGACTCCAAACTCCTTCCTCTTCCACAGGGACTCTCCTTATGGGTCCAGCATTTGGCAAAGTGCCCATATCAAGAGCCGGGATCTTTTCCTGCCCAGATGGTTCTTCTATTCATTGCACAAGGTCACAGACCTTCAGTTATGGCTGTGAACACTCAGAGTAGATATCTAACCACAGCTTGACCTCTGTGGGAGGAGCAGAGGGCCTGTGTGCAAGACTGCAGCCAAGCCTGGCAGAGTTGGCATCTGATGGCTGTGCAAACTCCATATCTGTAGCTCCAGAGTAATGCCAGAAGCTCTCAACTTTAGGACAAAAGTGATCTTTAGCTACTACACCTGCAAACTCACATTCACCATGCCTGTAGGCTTGGGGCCTACATCACATCTTCAATAAAGACTGCTTTAAGTGTTTTCTCAGTGTGAGTCTAGTCACAGAGTACCAGATGTCTCATGTGTTACTTGGGTCCAATCTCTTGTAATGCTACCATCCTCAACTGATCCATATGGCCTCATGTGTTCAATCAGGGAAGTACTGCGATATGTAGGACTGTTTTTGTTTTGTTTTGTTTTTTTATAGTATTACATAGTATCACCTCCAAGTTACAGAAGGGAAAATAGAAGTTGAGAACTTGGTATGATTGATTTAAAGTCAAAGAATGTGCATGGGGCTCCATGTTTACTGCTCTTTCATCCAGTGATGGGGGATGTTCTTCTGTATATGTTTCTCTTATTGGTTGATGAATAAAACATTGTTTGGCCAATAGAAGCAGGAAGATAGGCAGGGCTAGGAGACAAAGAGAATTCTGGTAAAGGTAGGCAGAGGGAGACGCTACTAAGGGATGCCATGTAGCTGCCAAAGAAGAAACAGGTCTAGACATTCTCTGGTAAGCCAAGATCATGTGCAATACTTAGATTAACAGAAATGGGTTAATAATTAAGACAGAGCTAGCCAATAAGAAGCCCAAGCCATTGACCAAACAGTTTATAGTTAATATAGCATCTATATGTTTATTTGGGGCTGAAGCGACAGTGGAACATCATGGAACAGAAACCTCCATCTACAATCCTGGCTATCATTAATGAATAACATGGGCTACAAAATTGTAGCCCTTTATAGAGAATAACACACTGTCCAACACAGCTTGAGGAATCAACATGTAGGGCTACATGAAGTTAAAAGTCTCTACACAGCAAAAGAAATTATCAGTGGGGCAGACTGTACAGAACAACCAAACTTCAGCCAAAGGGCTGATACTCAACAGTTTACAAAGAGATGTAAAATTTAAACACACAACCTCTAAAAGGCTGATTGAGGAATGGGCCAGTGAATAACACTCCCAAAGAAGAAACATAAATTGTTAACAAGAATTTCAGAATGTGTTCAACATCTGAAGTCATCAGGGAAGTGAAGAGTATATCTGTCTTGAGATACCACCTCACCCATCAGAATGGCCATCAAAAGAAATCTGATAGAAAATGCTGGCAAGGATGTGGGGAAAGGGACCCTTACCACTGTTGGTAGGAGTGCAATTTAATGTAGCCATTATGTAAATCATTATGGTGACTTCTTAAAAATTCAGCACAGAACTGCCACATGAGTCAGCTATAGCACTACAGGGCATATCCCCAAGGACTCCAAATCCTACCATAGATAACTACACATCCACATTAGTTTCTGCTCTCTTCACAACAAGAAGGAAGTGGAAATAGCCTACATGTCCATGAACAGATGACTGGATAATGAAAATGTGGCATATACACACATCAGATTCTTATTCAGCTAGAAAGAGAAATAAAAATTTGACAATTTCAGGAAAATAGATGGATTTGGAAAATTTAATTTTAAGTGACTCAAACTCAGAAAGACAAAAAACAAGCAAGTTAGGACTTGCTGGTCCTAACTGCAATGAGCACATGTATATGTGAGTCTAGATACAAGTAAAGCTTAGAAAGACAAGGCACGGCCAAGCGGTAAGGAAGATGTGAAGGGAGTCAAAGTACGTAGAAACACAAGTCACTGAAGGTGGGAAGGAGGAGGTCAGGGGTAGGGGAGGGAGAGGAGAGGAGAAACTGACCACAACACATGTCCAAAAGGCCATAATGATACCAAATACTTTATATGCTAGTTTTTTAAATAATTAAAGAAAACATTAGAGAACACAACTCAGTAAAGAGAAATTAAGATTTTTAAAACATTTTATATAGAAATATTTATGAAGATTTTACAACATAGTAAATCATTATGTCATACTGTAGAAAGATGAAGGAAGAGATTAAACTCAAGGACAAAGAAAGTGCTCATAGCAACGTATTGCAGTCTCCATGAAAGTGCATCCAAAGTTAAGGCAGTGTCCCATGTTGATACTGGCATGTTACAAAATAACTTGCAAAACAGTTTTTAAAAAAATATATACAAACAGTTTTTCCTTTTATTCTTTTCAGAGATATTGAAAGGGAAACTTTTGTGACTATCTTTGTTGTAGAATAATGCAGAGATAACGAACACCTAGGTCCAAGTCAATAAAAGTAAAACGTTCTACAGGAACTCGTTAAAAGAGTCCTTTCCAAGTGTGGGCTGCTTTTCTACATGTAACTTTCCAGGCTTGAGGGCAGCTATCTCATATGCTTAGATAGTGATTGCTGGTGACAACGACTCTGGTTACATGAGGGCCTCCTTGTTTAGGTGCGTGCTTAACTAACTTCCAGCTTCTACAGCGACACTAAGATACTTTAAGTCCTTCTGCACTGCACTAGGCGTCGACAGCTTTGCTTATGCATGCCTTCAGCTTTTCAGAGTGACTCTATGAACAGCCACTCACATGTATGCTGTAATATTTTGCCCTATCTGATAGCCGAAAATGTAAAGGTTAAGCCATAAACCTTTTTGGACAATTCTGGTTATGTATTTTATTCTCCACATAGGATAAATTCCCTAAGTTCAATGGGCTTAATAAGGATAATACTGGTTATCAGACTATAATCTTCATACATGGAGAAAAACCTGATTCTATAACATAACAGAGAATACTACTGATCTAAATAAAGGAAACTGGCCATACTTTTTTGAGTGAGTCTTAGGGTGAATTGATTTATCTGAATATTGGGGATAAAATAAGTATCTGCTAAGGAATAACTTAACTCACCTGATAGCCACTCTTTGTAAAGTTTCATATCATACTCATAAAAGTAAGGGAACTTCGTTTTACCCGTATACACTCTCCACATGTACACTGACATTTCCTTCCCCTGTTCCTTTTTCTCCCATGTTTAAATGTAAGGATAAATAACAAGCCCATCTTTTGCTGACTTAGGTTAGTTAGTGCTCTTAGCTCTCAAGGCACAGCTGTGGTAAAAATCAGAGAAATATGCAGGCATTTATTGGAATTCTGCAGTACAGAATAAGCACAGATGCTCTCTACAATCTAGTAACAGGGGCCACAGTGAAACTATTTTACACAACAGATGTATTAGGTTGATTTTCATCTGTAACTTCTTTTTCATCGGGACCACAAACAAAAAGTTGGTTGCCCAGAGTCTTCTGGGCAAATCGGAAATACATAAGATGGCCCATTGCCACAAAGGACACTGAAATCAATACGAGCAAGCCAAAAGCTTCAGGATTGGGGGCCAGGATGACCATGATGAAATGCAGAAGGTCGAGAAGGTAGTTCATGGAGTTCTGCACACCGTTGATAATGCCTCTTTCAGATTCAATTACATTTTCTTGCAGCAACTGTGTCACAGTTAAATCAAAGGACCAAAGACCTATATGGTAAAGGATATTAACAAGGTTAAATTTCAATGTGTAATTTAGCTTATATAGCTTTCATTATTTAGGTGTCTTAATATATGCAAAACACATTGGAGCTCTATAACCTTTGAATTACCCATATATAGAAAATATTAATCACACTTTGCCTTAGATAATTTATTAGCATGCATTGGATTATTAATACTTTCCAGAAATTATTTTTACAGTCATCAGACATAATAAATCTAAGCTACAAGCTTCTCAGTCCTTTTAGTATGATTATACAGATTACAAAGTAAAGTGGCATCAGGGGTACAGAACCTATAAATTAAAGCATTACTAAAGTTTAAAGTGATCTATTATGCTGCCATGGCTAAAGAGCACAGAAACTTTAAACCATTCTTCTATTGCTATTAGAGTAGTCCAAGGCTCCCAATAAAGCTGTCTTGCCTGAGTATTAATGTCTCTGATAAATAAATGAATTGCCCTGTATCACAAGATAAATATGGTTTCGTTTCAAGAATGAATGGATTCTGAGGCCATTCACCAGCAAGCACTCCATTAATGATTACTTAGTCTGCTCTGTAAGATGCCTTTACATTATGTTTCCGGGCAGAAGTATAAAACTCATTTGTGTAACAAGATGTAGTAAATGCATATCAGCTAGAGAGGACTTTTGAAGGGTGTTTCTTACAACCACAATGTCTTCAAAGGAGGAATAATTTAAGGCACTTCCCCAGCACACAGAAGGTCCTGGGTTTGATCCCCTATAACACACCACACACACACTCACACACACACACACACACACACACACACACTTTAGGAAAAAACCTAAACCCTTTATATACATACATGTACATATTATTTAAAATATTAAGTAAAAATTTCATGTTTAATAAGTAGATCCTATATGTAAACTGTGGGTTTTGCTTAAACTAACATCCATTTAAGTATTTCGGATAATTTATTGTTGAGTTCTCTGTACTAGCATTCCAAAATGATTTAGTTTTTTACTATACAGAAAGAGAGCTCTTACCGATTCTAGCAGCAATGACACCCGCGAAGAGCAGGCTGACAGAGATTATGGGCGTGGATTTCGTACTCATCTCCTGGACAGTATTAATATTAGACATGTTGGACATAGGCATTTCAGATGTAAAGACGGTCTCAGGTGCTTTGGTAGTTAGGGACACTGTTTTCACCTGCAAAAACCTAGAACGGATGTCTTCAAATGGAGAAACAGATAGGTCCAAGGGGCTTCCAGGCATGAACACGGAGATCACACACAAGATCAAACAGGAAAGCTGAGCAAGTCCTGAGAACAGTCCAGTCCTTACAAGGCCGCATTTCTGACGCAGCCAAGTGAAAGCCACAGTTCCCGTTATTCCAGTTACTGCGGATGCTCCCATCAAAAAACTGAGGACAGAGCCACTTAGCCCCTGAGTGTAGGCGTACCCTGTGGTGATGCAATCAAAGCCCAGGACTGTCATATAAAGGAAAGCCAGACCCATGCCAGCCAGAAACACCGGCTGGTTATAGTAGGAGACCCACCCATCTCGAAAGGTGCGGAAGGGCTCGGTGATCTGGGAGGCACACGTAGGCTCTTGCTCACGTTCAAGTTCACGGATGTTGGAGTCTTTCTCACCCATGAGATGAGTTCCCTCCAGAGATTTTGGCTCAGTATCTGTTAATAAGATACACGGTTATTTTCGGGGAAGAACATGGGAAGTAAAAGCCAATTATTCTTGATTTTCTCATTCCCCTCCTGAGTGGATCTCCTTGACTACTACCTTGTGAATACACTTTCCTCTTACTGCTCATTTAAGAATTACAGCCGTAGAATAATTCCCAAGTACCAGGTTTGCTTTAAAAATACAGTTGGTCTCCTTTTAAGTCTGTCTTTCTTTCAGAGATTACACTCTCACTAAAGCAAATAGCAGGAAAACATATCAGATAAAGTGCAGAAATTATGTTGGGAAATACAGTACCTTCTTTTTAGAGCTCAGTAAGATTTCATCTACCAGAAAACCAGCCTCTGTTTCTCCTGGGAAAATCCTGTCTATCTCTTCACCCCTCTCACTGTTCTCCAAATGACTGTTATTCCCCTCAGAGATGCTAAGGAATGCCCATTTTCTGGTTTCCCAGTCATCCTCAATCAGTTGTTCCTCTGTGCCCACAACAAGAGAAGAGGCCAGGGACCTAAGCCTATGTCTCTTTAAAAATTGTACTCCCACTTCTTCCCAGAATCTCAAAAGATGGCATATCCAATTCATCCAGGCCTTCCCTGGAAACCAAGTCTGAAATCTAAACTAGCGTCCAGTCTGAATTTAGGATGGAGAGCTGATGGCTGTGGTCAGTTACCTTTAGGTAAGTTCAGTTGCTTCAGTTCCGCCTCCTCTACTTTGAGAGCAGCTTTCACAGCCAGAGCAGGGGTTTTCTGGTAAACCTTCCAGAGCAAAAAGTATTCCACACACATGGACACCAAATTCCATCCCGAAATGAAACCACAGCCAATGACTGGGGAACCAAATGTCATAATCTGGCCAACAGCCATGGGGGCCAAGATGTTGGTTAGCTGGTCGATCCTTCTGATGGTAGCATTCATATCTACAGAGACAGGTACAAGAGGCTGGTGAATGAGAGCTCAAACCTGTCAAAGAGACCCTGACCATTTATGTAATAGAAAGCTAAACACCAAGAGTGTAGATTCCTGAAAGAGTAAGTTGTAAAGGCATTCCATGACCAAAACATTTGCTGTAAGGAAAAAGGGTTTTGCCCTGTTTTCCTCTAGGAAAAGTCAACAAATCAATAAGCAATACATAATAGATATTATATATGACATATATGTATAGACATATGTACATAAACAAGCATACAAATACTGTAAACCTTACATGTCAAATGTGGTAAAACAAATACAATGCCCCCAAGTTGAGAACCACTGATTTAACTCATAATGTATTGGTAATAGATTATGACCAGTAATAGATTATGACTGACAGAGTATAAGAAAGAGGAGTCACAGAGGACTCAACAAAGTGTTCTTTTTGTTTTTCTTGAGTTACTAATTACCGAGAAACAGATAACTTCAGAATAACTTCATGTTTAGCATAAACTAACTTTTGAAATGTTGATTTAGATAGACTCACTAACATTCAGGAGGCTCTGCTGAGACAGACAGCTACATAAACGAAGTTGAAGATTCAGAAAGAGATATAAGCCAATTTTGGAAGTTTGCCAGTTTTTAAAACAATGAAATAAGATGGAATCTAAAGGGGGTGTGTGTAGAGAGGAGACAGGTGACTAACGTGTTGGAAATGCCAACATTTAAAGGTCAGAATCATGAGTAGAACTCATCAAAATGATAAAACAAGAATATTGTGTCCTAGAAATCAAAGGGGGGCAGTGGAGAAAAATCACCTGTGCCAAGTACAGTAGCACTCAAGAAACATAACACTAAGAGGGACACTCAATGGTGGCAGGCAAGAAACATGGCACTAAGAGGGGCACTCAATGGTGGCGCTCAAGAAACATAACACTAAGAGGGGCACTCAATGGTGGCAGGCAAGAAACATGGCACTAAGAGGGGCACTCAATGGTGGCGCGCAAGAAACATAACACTAAGAGGGGCACTCAATGGTGGCGCTCAAGAAACATGGCACTAAGAGGAGCACTGGATGGGTCCACCGAGAATCTCAAAGATAGCAGAGTGGGAGGGGCTCACAAGAATGTGGTACCAAGTCCAGGAGATACTATTTCCTTATCTTTCCAACAGGTGACCCTCCAGGGCACAATGTGAATGCCGCCTCCTAGCGAAGTGCTAGGTAGGAGTAAAACACAAAAATGCAGCAAGGTGAGGAAGGTGAAGTTTCTGCAGGATTTAGGAGAAAATGCAAAACAATCCTTCAGGAAGGATGGAAAAGGCAGACAGCAGGGAAAGGCATGATCATCCGACAGCATGACAAGATCAACTCCATGCTCACGGGAACACTGAGCTAAGTCATGTGTTTTCTTGAGTTTTGCTCTACCTTGAAAAGTTGGATTTAAATGGGGTTACTAAGTTGCCTCGACAAAAGGACAGGGAGCCAAGTAAGCCAAGGCTATTCCCTGAGACGTAAGCATGGCATCATGACTGACCTTGAAATTTAAACAGGGTACGAGAGGGAGGCTAGGAAGGATCCTAAGTGGTAAAAAGGCAGCAGATTTGGTGGGTTGTACGTGCCAGCTGTCATGCAGAGTTGTTCCAAAGTGAAGGAGAGAGCAGGGGAGATGGAGAAGGGCAGGGTAACACACACACAAAGCCTGAGATTATGAGAGAAAGATTTAGTAGTGGTAACAGGGTTTTCTAAAGTTTGACCCTGGGAATGTACAACAGTGTCAAAGATGAAGGAAGGGCAGCTAAGAAAATGATCTACTTTGCCATGCCCTATAGCACAGAGGAGGGTGAAAATTAATGAGGGAGATCCTTAGCAATCATCTGGGTTAGCAAGGAAAAATCAATATGTGACTAATGAGTACATTCATGGAAAATTGCCTTTCTTCTTTCCTTCATTCCTTCTAGTCTTCAATGGATTTCTGATTAGTCCTATGACTGTACAATGAATATACGATAATGGGAGAACTTTGATATTCTTCACCTTTCACTTGAAAGGCAAAGGCAGCATTCATGGATCTCGTACAGCAGTGTCTTTGCAGAGGCTCCCCTAACTTCTGTCTGTGCACTGACAAGCTTGCAGTGCCCATGCCAACAGTGACACAAGGAACTGACCCAAGTAACTCAGCAATCTGAATCCAAAAAAGCAGGTAATTCAAGATAACAATTGTATCTTAAAACATCATTACAACAACAGATGTTTTAATTAAATGTTTTCTCCCCAAATGATCCAGAACTTGGGGTTCACAGAGCTTCCAAGACCCCAATTTCTATATTTTATATAATAATTAGGAAGGCAATACTGCTTTTATATTGAGAGAAAGGTGGTGTCAGCAAATAGCTCTTATCTTTCTGGAGCAGAATGAATCAAGCAGTACTTTTGAAGACCTAATTGTTTTATTGGTAATAGCCTAGAAGAGAATCAATCATCTGAATGTTCAAACATAATGAGCTTTTGAATTTACATTTGTTTTCATATGAACACTCAAATATTTAAGTGTTTACCTCATTCTGGTTTGGCACAGAACATGGCATGAAATATTTTTTTTTTTTTTGACTATAACAATTACATGATACCACATAGAAGAATACGTTTCGTAAGGGAGCAAATAGGAGCCAGCAGGCTCATCTATCTAAAACATGAAATCAACTTTTAACCAATAGAGCTCAGGTATGGCATTTATGTGACATCCTTTATCAAAGCAAACCATCAGATTCTCTTCAAAATAATTAGCAAGGAACCCCCAGAAGCTGTCACTACAGACCATCCCACAAAGGGGGAAAGAGAGATGGGTGGATTTAAAAACCTGGGGAAGGAGGGGACATAGGCTACATAGACAAGAGAATGTCTCAATAAAATACTAAACTGAAAAATATCTAACTTAGTTCATAGATTAGTTAAGAGTCTGCATGTGAAAAGCTACACCTTTACTGGAGCCCTCCATCTAACTGTCCTCAATGGTACAGCTTCCAACTTTAAAATTCTCTGAAATCATAAATGCTGGTATAAGGAAATAGGAACAGCCATCAGCCAACTCATAACATACATTCATACACACACACAGACACAGACACAGACACACACACACACACACACACACACACACACACACACACAGCCTTATAGCCTAGTCTCCTACTTGATCTTCTAACATCCTCACAGTAAGCCAAAGCAACATCTGGGTCCCCCCTCCACACACATACACACATTCTACTTCTTTTCTCTTCCATTCATTTTTCTTTAGCAGAGTCCTTTTTTTTTTCTTCTTCTTCTTCTTCTTCTTCTTTTTTTTTTTTTTTTTTTTCCTTTTTCTGACTTTTAAAATTCTGCTTCTAGTAGAAATGAAATCCATGGTCAGACAGCTGCTGACCCTCTGAACTAAACATGTCTCTGTATACTACTTCAAAACAGGGTTTTTAATTAATATCCACTGGGGTTAATTATCAGGAAAAAAAAAAACTTGTAGGTTTCCTTTACTGATCTATAAATCTGCACTTTGGGATGTATGGGTGAGATGGGGGAGGGTGGCACTAAGATTTGACTGACAGATCAGTAGACATTCCATTTCCCTTCTTAAATTGGAGAAAGCCCACAAGGCTAGGAAACAGGCTGTCCTAGATTCATCTACTATGCAATCATTCACTATAAAGAGAGAGTCAACTGAGAAATGGCCAGTCATATTTTTAAATGTTCTGAAACATTTTTTCCACAGATCCACAGAGTTAGGTTGTGTATATGTACTAGGACCACTTAAAGATTCTGAGTATTTTGTTTTTATCAAAGCTTTTTGTTTTGCTTGCTTGCTTGCTTGCTTGCTTGCTTGCTTGCTTGCTTGCTTGCTTGCTTATTTGTGACAAGGTTTCTCTGTGTAACAGGTTGGCCTAGGATTCACAGAAATCCACCTGCCTCTGCCTCCTGAGTGCTGGGATTAAAGGTGTAAGCCATCACCACCTGGCCTTAATAAAGTGATTTTAAGGAGTAAAACAACCTTAAAATTTTTTTCTTTCTATTATTTTTAAATTATCTATTGTTTTTAAATGATGTGTATTGTGCAGGCACATGCTTGTAAGGGCAGGCGCCCACAGAGCCTAGAGGCATCAGACAATCTGCAGCTGAGTTCCTGATTCAGTGCTAGGAAAGGAACTCGGGTTTGCCAGAAGAGGAGTACGGCACTCTTAAGGACCACGCCATCTCTCCAGCTCCCTAAAATAACCTTCTTAATTTAATGAACTATATAGGGTCAAAATGAGTACAGTAAATAAATTGAGATAAGTGACAGAACGTAGTTTAGAAGCCAACATTTTCCTTCAGATATGTCAGAAAAATATATTTGTGACCTATTTTTAAAATACACTCTTTCATATCCTCTGAATTTTAAAACATACATACTTTACATGCTTAAGTAATGTTAAAAAGAAAAAGGTAACCAAAAAGGGGACAGTCTTTCGGCATAACAAAAAAAGAGATGTGGAATCATTATTCATTTTTTTTTTATAAACAAACAATGGCAGAGGGTTGGAAGATTCCCCCAAAGCACATTCACTGTACTGCTCTCATACACAAACCCCCATCCTGGCAGGGTTTCACTGGGTTGTAATACTACTACCAGGAAGTGGTGATTCAGGCAAATTCTGTTTCTTCTCTATAAGGGGTGTCCAACTTTTTAAAAGTAGAGTGTGACATTGTCAGTCACCTCCAAATACACGGGACCACCTTTATAGCGACATGAGGCTACCCACAGGCAGGTTGGACAAGCCTGTTCCAGGTCTCTCATAGACTCTGCGCTCTTTCAATGACTTTTCCTTCCTACCTTTTTATTTTTTAACCACAAGGTCTAGTCAAACAGAGCCACTTGCTAACCCCAGCCCATAATCTTTCCTTCTGTGTCCTGGAGTAAGCCACTTTAATCATCAAGAATGGTTTTCTTGTCTGTTGGGATTGTTAGGCAATGTGTTTGTGATACTCGTTATCTTAATGACCTGCAGAGTCACTTCAGCTGATCTGTAGCTCTAGGTATCCTTCCTCTCTCACCTTGGGTAATTATCAATCCAGTTCAAACCTGTGGGCGCTGTGGTGAAGAAGAATGCCAAGCAAGGCAGCCATCTTGAGCCTTAGCAGGACTCATGTAGTGGGGCATGCTGTCTTGAGAGCTCTGTTTGCTCATTCTTCAGTCACCTGCCTGTGCTTCCAATAAACTAAGATTGTTTGTCAAAAGCCTTACATTTTCTAGGATGTGAGATAATGGCTTTCATTTTTTTTTTTTTTAAAGTAGAAACTAACTTCAAGAATCTCTACTACAATTGTGTTGTTTCCATTAGGTATAAAGAAACATAGTACCAATGGTACAATCTTTGAAGTACTTGTAATAATGTCCATATTCATGAGGGTAAAATACTATGTCAGATTGACACCATCATAACTGAAACTCAGAAACAGCATAATTCACAAAGAAAAAAGGGAAAGGTCAAATGAGATATTCTAGTTGCTAGATTTACAGGGAATGATAGAGTAGTGAGAATCCTAAAATGAGTTTGGGAATAATTAGATAAATCACTGCACTGTCTGGCAACTGTGGCAGCAACAAGAGAAACCCCGGTGCTTTCCATGGAGTGTTCTGAAAGCTTTCCCAGATGACCAGTGGTGAAAAGGCTCCCCTCCCACTTACGGCCATGGATTCAGGGGTTCATTTAGCTGAAAAGGTAATCCAAACCACCTGCTAATCTGCTTCTGTTCTCTCCCGCCACAACAACAATCCAGTCCCTTTGGATCGTGATTGCAGTAGCAGTACTGGCCAGATTTGCAATGTTTGCAATCGTGATGATCAGGATGTAGCAGACAGTCTAAAGAGTTGGGGAAAAATAAAAATAAAAAAACTTGAGTTAATATGTAAGTTTAATGTTTTTTAAATTTTAGTTTTATTCATAAGAAGTAACTTTACTTCCTACACATGGAACAGTTAAGTACCAAGAGTCAGAAATTAAAGGGCATGATATTATTCAGATCTGCACCGTCTATACTTAATGCAAAAGTTATAACAATAATCATTTATATGACAGTTAAATATTCATTAAAACTTGATCAAAAGAGAATCAAAATGACCTGTGGACATGGAAATCAATATGAAAAGGTTACAATAGAAAAATAAAAAGGTACACTCCTGGACTATAAAGGATTCACACCTTTACCACTATTAGGTGTTCAGTTCTCTGCCACTCAGAATCCTGGGGAGCTGAGGCTCAGCTCATTGGTGGAGTGTATGCTTAGTACTTATAAGGTCCTGGGGTCCATCCTCAGGGCCCCACAAACAAACAAGAGCCCCAAGGAGAACTTACCAGGACCCATCCATGATACATGGTCAGAAGCTCGTTTTTGTGTAAGAAAACCATCATCAGGATTATCCCGCAGAGGATGACGGAGACGTTCTGCACCACCAGTGAAGTCTGAGCCACTGTATGGAGAAAAAGAAAAATGTTCACTGCAGCAGCATGCCGGAGCACGACGCGTTCATCCACACAGTGCTGAACTACATGGATGCGTATGCATCATTACTGCATGACAGGGGAGAGCCGCCAACAGTCAGTTCTGCCTCAGCCAGCTCCTGTCCACAGACCTGTGAAATCTGCAAACAAAATAATGTGTTCATGACTTTCTTCTACTAGAAGTCTTTCATAACTGTATTACATCTCATTTTATTCACTAAAATGTTTAATGCCCTAAACAGAACTATCCTATGGATAAGATTTGTCTTCCAAGCCTTAGCTGCTTCAGCTCAAACAAAAACATGTAGGTTAGCAAAGAGGTGAGGACCAAGTTGTAGAATCTGTGACCTCTCACTTACATGGCAGGCCTGAGCTAAGAAAATAACCTGAACAAATTGAAAATACACAAGCATTTCCAAAAAGCAATAAATAGTAAATTTCTTCTGATTTGTATTTTATTTGTCATTGCCATGAAATTGTGATCTACATCTTCCATCACCAAAAAAAAAAAAAAAAAAAAAAAAAAAGAAAGAAAGAAAAAAGAAAAAAATGCATATGCTGGTAGAGAGAGAGAGAGAGAGAGAGAGAGAGAGAGAGAGACTCTCCTTCATACAGATGAGCAAGGCCAGTAAGAACCCAATAGTCGTTTCTCTACCACTCACTAGGCAGATCACCTAGGACAGGATATTTAATGCTTCTTATGCCTATGCGTAAGTGTGGAGGGTAACATCTACCTTCCTTATTTTATGGAATCATAATAATCCTCACATAAAATATCTATGAAAGCATTGTGAAATATGTAAGTTATAATTACAAATCTTGTCATTCAGGACAGTAAAGCTTATCCTGGCCTTTGAAGGGCATATTAAAGGCTTAAGACAAAACACACTCCACTCAGAAGGCAGTCTGCAATAAAATCCAACACAGAAGTCATTCACTCATGCATCTACGCATGCATGCATGCATACTTTCATAGCAAAGAATTAAATACCAACTGCCACCACACCAGAAGGAAGGATGTGTGAGCAGATTACCATAACCATCTGAGTACAATAACAGAGGTACCACGGTCTCAATAAGCACTGAGGAAGAAATGGTGAGTTCACTCTGTAAATATTAGGGAAGATATCACCATTCACGAAGGGTGACTTGTGAGTCATTTACACTGCAGACACAGGAGACTCCTATCACACCAATCTTCTCCATCCAACTTAGCACTTTCCTACCATGTGGTTGTAATGCTCAATGATGCTAAGGTTTAAGGGTCCTATGGATAATATTCTTATGTACAACTATAAAATGAATTTTGTTTTCTCTAGCATACAGAAAATTTATCTAGATGTGCTCTGATGTACTCATTATCAAAACAGAAAAATCATGTGAATCATTTTACTAGCAACACCAAATCCTAGAATGGTATAATCCTGTTGACTCTTTATATAGGAGCAGTCACCCTGAACTGAGCAAAACTAGCTATAACTTCAAGTTTTCCCAGTGTCTATCTTTGGGAAGGCATGGCCAGCTCTTTGTATCATTAACTGAGCTTTAAATAATTACCCACATACATCTTATATTCTAGAACTAAATTGCTTAGTTATTTCCAATCTCTTGTATATAAAAGAAAATATATCTTGATACCCTAGAATAAAGGTCACTTTATCATATATGTACAATATAATATATGCACAATGTGTTGTAATTTCTTCTTCTTCCCTAAAATACGTATAATCCAACTGTCTGTGGCCTAGACATAGTTATTCTCCTTTGGATCAATATTTAGTTTTAAAATTCCATTACACACACCTTTACATGTAACAGAATAAACCAAAGGACAGATGTTCAAGATGTACCCAGGAACATCACACTAGAGGGCCTTTAGTGCAATTCATGGCTAGAGAGGAAGCCATAGTTAAGCAAACTCTTAATGTTTAACATGATTCCCAGAAAAATTGGCCTCAGGGTTAATAGTTAACATTTGAAACTGACAAACTGCCAAAAGAAGGAAAACCTATTAGGTCAATGTCTTGCAGCAGCTTCAGGTGTGACCACCAACCCCTGTCCCTTTCTGAGTCAATCACACCGATTTCTTCTCTCTACTCCAGAGGGAACACAGGCTTAGTTATGCTCTGGCACTCACCTTTAAGTCTGGCATTCTTGTCTACCCAGTCACCAATGATGGCTCCCAGGACCAGAACAGAGCCTGCCACCACCAACCCATAGACAGCTGTCAAGAGGAGACTGTTTCCATAGAGTTCCACCAGAAACACAGACACTGCAAAGTGCCACATCCGATCCCCCTTAAACAAGAGAAAGATGTTTAGTTGAAATGCTCTTAGTATGCACCCAATTGTACTCAAGATGTTGCTTTATCAGATGATTTTTCAAGTCAGTAGCTGTGGACTGAATAGTAGTGCTAATGCCAAAACTTCATTCCAGCACAATGGAAAATTCAAGCTTTATTACCACAGTTTCTAACCACCAGTTTAACTTAAATGCTGACACAAGCCAGCTTTTCAATTTAGGAAATGGGAGGAAAGGCATCTGTGGCCTCTGATGGCTTTTCATTGCTCTCTCTCTCTCTCTCTCTCTCTCTCTCCCTCTCTCTCTCTCTCTCTCTCTCTCAAAACAATGTGTTATTCCACAAGTAAATCTATTTCAACATCAAATTGCAGAACAATCAGAAGGAAAAAAATTCAATAAGGGAAACTCTGACTCCATAAGACCAAAGATGCTGAAATCATTATATAAGTAAGCAGTTATTTTAATGTTTTCATACAGATAAGTTTTGAAAAGAGACAAGGAAGTTGGGTGTGGTGGTGCACACCTTTTATCCCAGCACCTAGAAGGCTGAGGCAGGTAGCTCTCTGTGAGTTTGAGGGTTGTCTGGTTGAACTACATAGCAGACCCTGCCTTTAAAAGAGAGAGAGAGAGAGAGAGGTATGTGTTGATATAAAATGTGGTATAAGTTTAACAGGAACTTTTAAAGTAGTCAGAGATTAATATATGAGATATCTAAAATAGACATTTTATGAGATTAGATTATAAGTTCCAACCTGGACATTTTGAGTTAACACTGAAGAAAGACAACATTTTTTCATGATCATCACTAAATTCCCAGACATTCCTTACTTATTTGACCCTGTGTGAATGAGCTTCAGTTCTTGAGAGCTTCCCAAAGTTGGACAAAGTCTTCATGATAAATTTCATATGTTGGAAGAAAATTATTATACTGGTAAGTCAAACACTATTAAATTTTAATAAGACTAAGATAACCTTAAATATTCAAAATTTAAATTGATTCATGCTACCATGACAGACAAGTCGTTCTCAACTAAGAAGCATTCTTTTCTTCAGGGGTCAATTGCTAATGTTTGAAAATGCTTTGAGGCAACACAACCCTCATGTCTGAAGGAAGCTTGGGGTAAGGAAATACTGTCGGCATCCATCAGTCCACCAGAAAGTATTTCCTGACCTGAAACATTGACACTGCAGAGGTAGAGAAATCTTGGTGCAAAGAATGAGTTTCCAATTATAACCAAAACTGAACACAAGATTTAGAACTTGGAGACATCTAAGTAAATATTGGCTAAGTGTTCAGTCAGTTCTTTCATGCTTCTATTTTCTGCCTTCCAGACATGTGCTCTTTGATATTTGTTTACATGCCTATTGACCCACGCTAGATCTGAGAATAAGTAGTCACAGTCATTAATCTACTTAATAAATGCCTATAGAATGGTTTCTGATGCGTGCCCAACGCTCCTGGGGGCATCACAGCTTCAGCAGTGAACAAAATATACAGGGTATTTTTCTTGTTGTAGGCATTCTGTACAAAGATGAAGGCAAACCTCAAAGAGGACAAGTGGTAGCAAGTGCTGTGAAGAAAAGGAACACAGGAGGGGCTGGCAGGTGGCACTCTACATTATGGCAGAGGCCCCTATGAGCGGAGAAGTAAGCCCCTGCAGAATGCAGACCACCCGGGCTTAAATGGGAAGAGTATAAAGTAGAAGCAACTAGCCCCTCCTTTTTCCCAGCTTTACACTATTTTTGTTGTTACTTCTCTAAAGTGCTTACTAAATTGGATTATAAACTCCCAAACAAAAGCATCTACTTCTTACCTATTTTGTGTTTCAATGGTAGCATGAAATGTATTGATCCATTAGTAGAAATGAAGTCAGAAATTTAAAAAAAGTGCAAATCCACACAAACCTAATCTCAGAGACCCTTCTGCCCAAATGCCCTACATCCAATGTCTAAGGAATTATAATTCGGCTATGTTAGCAAGTAAATCCATTCATCCATCCATCCATCCACCTATCCATCCATCCATCCACCCACCCATCCATCCATGATCACAAGAGAAAATGCACAAAAGCAAAACTACCTACTTAGAGCATTCCCCTTTTGTACTCCTTTGTAGGAAGAAGTAAACACTAACCCTTCTAAGCCCTCAATTGCTGTTGTTACTTGTTACTTTTCATTTTTCTTTCTCCCAAGGACTTTTCCATTTCCTTAATTTACTATAAGATTAGAAGAAGCATCTTCCACCTTTCTTTAGGAACTTGCTTTAAATCTTCTTGACAAGTCTTTTTCAATTAAAAAAAAATAAAATAAAACAAAAGCCCTGGGACCCTCATAGCTCCTCTCATGTTTCTGGCCAGATTGACACCAAAAAGGTCGCATGAGCCTTGAAGTTAATCAGTGTTTAGAAAAGAGGCACCCTGGTTCTCTCAGAGGACTCCAGACACTCTTCCATCCCTGATCTTTTTAATGCTTAATATTATTGAGTTAAATTGGAAGAACAAACTATGGGTTTCGATTTACAGAGGGTTCTTCGCTGTCTTTTTTTTTTTTTTTTCTTATAACCATCACCTAACAAACTCAAGCTAGTTCCACTTTGTTTATACATATATTTGCAGAGTCATCCCTGTGTAAGCATTCAGAAACACAGGAGTTATTGTCTCTAAGAAGTTATCTGTGACTGCAATTTCTGAGAGCTAACAACTCAACTTAATAATTCCCCAAGGACATAGGGCATAGACTTCCTTATATGAGGTTTCTAGTCATGCCTTATAAATAAGTCAAGTTAAAAGATTAGCACTTCAAAATAGACTCTTGACATTCCTTTTCCTTATTTACAATGCACAGAATATGTTTAGAGTTATAGCTTTTAAGCAGTAAAAACAATTGTTTAACCTTAAAGTTTCTAATTCACCCATTGAACACAATTGGACACAAGCAGCTCTTTTTTGAGTGTTTTTTTTTTTTGGGGGGTGGGGGGAATTGATAAAGGAATCCAGACCAACAGAATCACTGAGATTCTCCCAAAGCCACATAGGAAGCCAATGGCAGAATTGTAAATCCATCACTAATTTCCACTGGGTGGTGGTTTTTAACACAGCTTGCACTACCCACAAATCAAGTAGCCACAAATAACAACTTTGAACATCAGCACTTTTATCATTTCAGTATTTGATTTGGGTTAGGTATACATATGCTGGTATTTGCCAGTATGTCATTCTATTCTATTTTCATAATACTGCATGCTGGAGTCAGACTTTAACAAAAGAAGAAAACAGATAAGTTTCTCTTCTTCTTTTTAAAGGTTTATTTATTTTTATTTTATGTGCATTGGTGTTTTACCGGCATGTATTTTTATGAAGGAGCCAGATGCCCTGAAATTGGAGCTCTAGGCAATTATGAACTTAAATGTGGTTGCTGGGAATTGAACCGGGTCCTCGGGAAGAATAGTCAGTGCTCTTAACTGTTGAGACATCTCTCCACCACCCAGATAAGTTTAAGTGTGAAAAAAGAAGGCCATGAAAAACCTTTCCAGTATAGGAGAGTGCATTAGAATTTACCAACCCTAGTAATTATTCAAGTTTCCCTGTCCTTGTCAATCTTGTTTTGGACAGTTGTCAGTCTCTATAAAGTATTTGAATTTCACCATTAAGTAACATCTACTGACACTCATGGGAAATGTCTTTGGAAAAAAACATTTCTGTTGAAACATGTGTCTAAGAACAATTTATTTCCTTAACTGAATGACGAAACTAGAATTTCGCTTAATGCAACTGTCTCCAATGAAGGTAAAGAAGAACTTGTGCAACTATGCTTACTTACCCAAGTGGAGAGAGAGTGCCCAAGGTACAGAAGGAATTTTGCTGAGGTCAGGTAGTTTGTTAAGGAGCCTACAAAGGCACAGAGAGAGTAAATTAAAAGCATGTTTAATCACACCAGTGGGTTCAGGTTAGAATTTGCTTTGGGTCATAATTATGTGTGATTTTTATCAGGTCACCTGAAGATTGATGCATTCAGTTTACTTCATACCATCGACTTAGGTTCAGAGTGACCTCTTGGTCAATAACCGCCCAACTTCATGCACAGTGAAGAAACTCCTGTTTCAACATTCTTCAACTTTGATGAGGTTGTTTTTGTTTTTTTAGTGCAAGAAATTCCACACTGCCCAACTTACTCTACCCTTGCCTATATGCAAGCTCTTTTACTCAAACTTTGAATTTACTTTCTTCTTCAGACTCATTTCAAAACAGAAGTCAACCCTCATGGAACTGCGTCCCCATTCCACCTGCAATCCCACCACTTGATGCATGTGATTACACAACTCACCACAGCATCCTTCCTGGCGGCTCTGATCTCTTGCCTTGGTCATGACACCAGGCGCTCTCCCCTTGCTTGTTTTGATGTTGGTTGCTGTAGCTGCTCTTGCCCAGGGGCTTGTTCACAGGAGTGAGAGGAACTGGAGTCAGCACCGCTAAAAGCACAACAAACAGCCTTGTGCCACAACACCCCAAAGGACAACTAGGGAAAAATAAAACAAACAAACAAACAAAAAAACAGCAAAGCTGCCACTGGGGTCTCTTTCTGTCTTCTTTCCAAACTTAGCCAACACTGTAGCTGAAGTTGGAAAGTCAAAGCCTTATGGAAGCGGGTTGGAGGATCCACGGGGCGCCGGAGACCCGGAGCCTGCTCTCGCCACCGCTCTCGCCGCCGCCGCCGCCGCGCCGTGGGCCGGGCTGCTACTTATAGGCAGCCGGGGGGCGGAGCTCGCAGGCGCTGGGGACGCCCCTCCCAGCGGGACACCCGGGTCCGGCGAGCTGAGCTCCGGCCGCCTGGTGCCCTCCGCCCTCCCAGGAGGACGCTTTGGCTGTGCGTATTGGTTGTGCTACTGCAGCTGAAACCCTAGAAAGGATGGGGTTGGGAAGGGGATCGTGCGTGGACCCCAAGGGGACTCCATGGAGATGTTTTGCACAAAGAGCCGATTGGCAGGTGCTAGAGGGAAGCGCTTTGCTCTGGCCACCCGATTGCCAGACAGTCTCTAGGCAAAGCTCAGCGGGAGCTGGAGCGGAAAAAAGAGCCTCCCACCCCCAGCTACATTTTGGAATGCAGGTAGCTAAGTAAATACAAGTCCTGTCACAGAGGCAGCCTTCCTGGCCTCCACGTCCGGCCTGCCTGCGGTGCGCAATGTTTTCCTTCCCCGGACTGTAGAGAGGGACTTCTCTCAAAGCAGCAGAATCAAAGCGCAGGAAGGAGACTCGAAAGATCAGAGTGCAGGCCTACACATCCCAGTCAATGAACACAGGCTCCCAGCCCAGACCCTGGGGCTGCCCTGTGTCCTGCAGGGCCCGCCAGGAGACAGAACCCTTCACTGTGCTTTCCTTCTGAGCTCTCAACCCGCCACTCCTGCCTTCATTTCTACTCCACAGGCCACAGAATCTGACAGGAGGTTACCAGGAATACCGGTTGTCCCAGTTGGAACTCTGGGTCTAGCCCAATATGGATAAAGCCACTTGGGAGTCTCCTGAAGGAATAGGTGTCTATAACTACAGCAAAATGCACCTGGTGTAAGACTCTTGTGACCTCAGTTTCATCCCCAGAGCATACCTGCTCCTTGTGCCAGCCAGTCACTTACCTTAACTTTGTCAATCTCGTCAGCACTTCAAGAGTGATCCTCAACATTGAAACTCCAACCAGCTTGCACACTTGGAGCACTGGAAGAATGACGCCTGCTAATGAAGAGGGAGCCACTCCTGAGCACAGGCCTTGTATCTGGACTCTCTATCAGAAGCCCCAAAGGTCTTTGCGGGCGGGGTGTTTCTGGATTCGTTGGGACTAGGTCTGCAGAGCAGAGATAGGGGGTTCACCGTTTACTGCTCATAACAGCTTTTTGTCCTTTGCAAACACCTCTCTTCCCTTTCACACAAAATTTTTAAGTCCTTTCTCCTCACTCAGAGATTATGTCTGCTGAAATTGTAAAATGGTGTAGTATATCCAATTGTCTTTTGAAGTAAACCTAAAGTGTGTTTACATGAGGCACTTAGGAAGGGGACATCTAGCAATTTGTGACCATTTCCTCTTTTTTTTTTTTCCTTGATCTTCGGGGAAAAGACAAGCTATCCTGATTCCTTGCACATACTACACGGCGTGCCAATAACAGGGAATTCTGTGCCCTTTACATTAATTGCCATGTGCCTTAAGGGTGGGTGTTGAGCTGCCCCCAACCTCCAGGCGGCTTAACTTTCAGTCAGTTAAGATGACTGTTTACTGAAGACTCCAAGAAACAGCTTAGTTGCTGTGTGCTTCAAAGTGTAACAAGGAACTTTTGCTCCCCATTGTCACCACAGAATCCCCAGAAGCCAAAACTAGGGGAGTGGTGAGCAGGCCAGACAGGAAGCAAATGGGAAGGAAAATAAGCAAGCTCCGGAGACAGCAAAAGCAGTGTGATAATAGAGGGTTGGCAGGGATTTAAAAATTCCAGCCAAGTCAATGAGAATGAATAGTTAGCGTGTGCTATGGGAGCTCACAACATGCAAGGAGTTAAAAAGGAAAACAGAATAAAAACTCACAAAACATTTGTAATACACAAAGTGATAGAGTTTCCTGGCCTTGACATTTCAGATAACAAAGCTTTGGTCACAAGGTATCACTTGCTCTTCCTCCTTCCAAAGAAGAATTTGACTGGTTGAAAACTAAAAGTTCTTCCAAAAGGAATTTTTTCTCTCAGAATATATAACTTTCTTGTCAACTAATCATAACTGAAAAGTCCATGCATGTTTTAAACTAGTTTTCAAAAACAAAAAGATAGATCCCTGAAATACTATTTCTCAATTCATTTTCAACATTTTATTTAGGAGATGGAATCTAAGTTACTCATACCGACTTTGAACTCACAATCCTCCTGCCTCATCCTCTCTAGTGATGGAATCATAGGCATGTGCCACTATTGAGCTATTTACTCAAAGGTTTTTCAGTTCCTAAAACAAACTTTAGTTTTTCCAGCCAGAATAAAAATGTACTCTGGTTGGAAGTTATTAACAAATATTTATGTTTAGGAAATAAAAGGAGTTTTTATTCTTTTATTTCCAAGCTGTGTTTTTACTTACCTCCAAGTCCCTCAGTTGCCTCAGCTGTATCTGATGCTGCCCAGAGCAAAGACAGAACAGGGAATGGTCACTATTCCACTGCCCTGAAGACAAAGGAAAAGGAAAAACACAAGGAGGTTATCACCAGCTATTACAGGAAGGCCTCAGATCTGAGGACACAGCTCTCATTGGATGCACAGCTTTATCTGTAAAGCTGAGTTTCAGTTCAAGTGCCTTACTCGGTATTGGCATTTCTATAATCTTAAAACTGAGTGGACGCTTGATGATTTCAAATCCAGGTTCTTACTTCATGTCATAGACCATTAACAGATGAGCATGCTCACTGCTTAATTTTGTTTGAGTGTTCCAAATTGATTTGATGACAAGATTTCCATGGATACATTCTGACATCCACTCCCTTCTCCTCTTCTGTTCTCTGTTCTCTTTCCTTCTCATAATTTCTACCTTTAAAATGAATGCAGGGTATTACACACACAGAGCAAATCCATAAATACAAAGTGCATAGTTGTCTTAAGGGCTGAAAGAACAGGTAATGACAACTTCATGGCCCTGGGCATCTTTTTGAGATGAAGGAAGTCTTGGCAGTGGTGATGGTACAACATTGTGAATTTATCCAAAGTGGCAAACCTGTATATTTTTAACTGATATAAGCTGTGAGTTTTACTTTATGTTTCACAATATATGTCTTAAAAGGGAAGTCTGCCAGATTCCCCTATTAGTGTGGTTTGGGATTAATGTAGGCCAAATGTGTAGAAAGAAGCCCTTAGAAATCAAATCTTGCCCATCATATTGAAAACTAAAACAGAGAACTATGTTAATTATTTAATGGTCTCCATGTGAAGCTAGAAAATAAATATGAATTTCATTGAGTAAGTATTTTGATCTCTCAACTTTTTCCATAGTCCCTCTTTTTTTCTTCCTAAGCAAACTCTGTTACAATATAGGCAATTCCATTATTGTTTGTTTTCAGCTAAAACCAAAGATGAATGCTTACTGACCACAACCCTAGAGACAGCTCTCAGACTTGCCTTCCTAAGGCTCTATAAAAAGAAACTCAACTCTCTGCTACTTGGTCATCATGATCCTTTGGTTTCTCAGTTTGCAGCCCTCACAGAAGAGAGTACATACATTTCAGGTCTCTTGGGGGATTTCATCCATCCAAAGAGTTCTTAGTGTACACATCTACCCAAGTCACCTGCCACAGACACTCCAGATGGCATACCTGCTTCTAAGAAACAGCCTGAAGCAAATTCCTACTGAGCTGGCCATGAATTTCCAGTCAAAAAGTTTGCATTCTGGGCTAAAGGCAAAAATGTTCCATTTAGGACACAGTTCCCAGGTCCAAAGCAGGGGTGACTGACTGCCTGATATGTCTCCTCAAGGCCTTTCCTGGAATGTACTCTGCCCTTGCTCTTTATTTTGTTTATTTTATTTCAGAAAATACTACCTATACTGCTGATTTTTTTTAACCAAGTCTCATAAAACAACTAATTATCATTACATGTCAAGAAGGAGTGACCATATTAAAGATGATGTCCCTCTGCTGTGAAATGCTTGGGCAATTCCCTAATCTTAGATCCTTGAGTTGTGTTTACACAGACACTAGTGTGGTTAAAGATCTTTAAGGAGAAAACAAAAAGGCCTTTTACACGTGATCGGACAAAGCCCTTTAGTCCCACACAATTTGAAATCACTGACTAAATTATCCCAACATTTCGAAAGAAAGCCTCTCCCAAGAATGTCCACCAGCAACACTTCATTAGTGTTATCTGCACTGACAGGCACGCATAACAAAAGGACCTTACCTGAGAGCCTAACACAAGTGGCAGGTAGGAGACAGGCTCTTATCAGGTATTACTATCTCCTCTCCTCTTCACAACACCCAGTGAAGTAATGCTGTCCTTATCCCAGCTGCAAAAAGAAGTGAACAACTCCCTTAAGGTCAGCCAGGTAAAAGACCCAAGAGCAGCTGACACAAGGCCAGAGTTCTTTGCTTTTCTCATTCTGCTTCTCATCAACTAAAAAGTGTGGGATGAAACAGTTCAGGTAAATAAGCCTCATAAATAAGTCAATCAAGCAAAGACTAAAAATACCAGAAAATCAGGTAACAAAGGGTCTTAAAGGGAACAACAACAAAAAGCATACAGAAAGAAAGAAAGGAAGGAAGGAAGAAAGAAAGAAAGAAAGGAAGGAAGAAAGAAAGAAAGAAAGGAAGGAAGGAAGAAAGAAAAACCCAGCTGCTGGGATAAAACAATACAGACCTCCTTGTGGGGCAGAGAGCTCTTAATGCTAGGAGCTGTTGGAGAGCTTCCACATGGACCCTGCTGCCCGCATGCAGGTGATAATCCACACAAATGCACACACAGACATACATGCTCTCTCTCTCTCTCTCTCTCTCTCTCTCTCTCTCTCTCTCTC